GCAGCAGAAGTTGTAAGCATTGAACATCATCATAATAGTAATTATGGCAATACATTTACTTCTTCATAGAATATTAGGGTTTGCAAAGTGCTTTTACACTCATAATTTTATGGATGGATACAGCAGCTGAAGGAGTTGAAATTAGACCCAGGCAGAGTGGCATCCAAGGAAGTGTATGGTTATGGAAGAACATGCACAGCCATACATGTGTGTGCAGTTCTGGTCCCAGGAAGGTGAAGGCATATTGCTCTCTTCCTTATTACCAACTTTCATGCTCTGGTGAAACCTGGTCCCCTGCCTGCCATTACTTGAATTTGTTTCTAGTTTCTTCATTTACTGGCAGAATGAGCCACCCCTCTTTCTCTCCCCAAGTATATATGTACTTTCCAGCCTAGGGCAGCTTCTGCACATTGAAACTCCAGAGAAGACATCATCGTATTCACCTCACAGTCCTGGGATTCTCCCTGTGGGGCTGGCTGCTAGGGCTCCTCTCTGCACCCCTCACCCTCCCACCCCTCAAAAAAAAAAAAAAAAAAATGTCAAGAGCTCTCTCCTCCTGGAGCCTTTTAGCCAAGATTGCCTTTGCTTAGGGAAGGCAGAGGAGCCTTGGTGGCACAGTAGTTAAGGCATTTGGCTGCTAACCAAGAAGTTGGTGGTTTGAACCCATCAGCCCGCTATCCAAGGAGAAAGATGAGGCAATCTGCTTCTGTAAAGATTTATAGCCTTGGAAATCCTATGGGGCAGTTCTATTCTATCCTACAGGATCACTAAGAGTTGGAACCAAATCCATAGCAGTGGGGTTTTTGGTAGGGAAGGCAGAGATGAGATGAAACCACGTGGTGGTGTTAGCATCTTCTCACCACAGGCCATGGGTGGGGAGTGGAGGCTGAGGTAGGCCTGAGGCCTGAGGAGCCCCAGAGGAAGAGGTGTAGTTGGAGAATCTTAAAGCTGGGAGTGGATGAGGGCAGGCGGGGGAGGGAGGAACAGAGCTTTCTAGAGAAGAAAACAGAAATGGGCCCTTGCAGTCCAGTCCCATCTCCCTGCAGGCTCTTAGGTTCAGGGCAGGAAAGTCTGATGGTGGAATTACCCTCTTTTCCCCACCCTTGGCCTAACAGGTGGGGGATTGAGTAGCCCTGTGAAGGGCAATATAGGCAGAGACTCTGGAGTCCAGACAGGCAGCAAGAAAGAGCCAGAGTAAGTCTGGACCTTTTCTCAATGGGTCTTTCCCTTTGTTTCCCTCTCTGTCATCTCCTGGTCCATGTCTTCCTTCCACCCTCTGAATGCTTATTTCTGCTTCACTTGGTCTCTTCCTCCTCCCAGACTTTTTCTCTCCCCCTTATCCCAGCTCAGGATGAGGGCCATGAAGCGGGAAAACAGAGGTGGGGCTGGAGAGAAGCTCAGTCAAGCAGTGGGAGAAGGAAGTGGCTTAATTCCTTTCCACTTGACCATCATTATACAGTTGACAGAACACTTTCCCAGAGGTCATCTCACTTAATTCTTACAACAACTCTGGCAAAGATGAGTATTTTAATCTCCATTTTACAGACAAGATTTTTTTTTTTTTTAATTGTGCTTTGGGTGAAAGTTTACAGAGCAAATTCACTTTCCATACAGCAGTTCACATACACTTTGTCTCATGACATTGACTACAATTTACCATAATGCAACAGCTCCCCTCCCACTTCCTCCCCATAGTTACCTCTTCCCCTGTGTCCTTCCCTCCATGCACTCCTGCCCCCTGAGCTACGTCCGTACGCATACATAGCCCTTCTATTCTCCCGTGATTGTTCTCTCCAAGGAGTGCATCTACTTAGTGTAAATGTTCACCTCATATGCCTGTCTTTTGTTTCACTGGAAGCCACAGGTGTGGGTTCAATTCCAGACCTGATGGGCAGCTAGGGGCCATAGTCTGAGTGGTTCCACCAGGTTCTATCAGACCAGCAAACCTGGTCCACCTCCCCCCAATGATTTTGAGTTTTGTTCCATATTGTTCTCCCTCTCTATCAAGGATCTCCTACAAAGATGCTCTTCCGAGTGGTTGACAGTGGTAGCCGGGCACCATCTAGTTCTTCTGGTCTCCTAGTTGTATAGGTTGAGGATCACATGGTGTACCAGTCACTCAGACAAGATAATTTTGAGGTTAAGTGACTTGCCCTCCATCCCACAGCTAGTAAGAGGCAAAGCTGTATTGCAAACCCAGAGCTTTGACTATATAATGCTGTCTTCCCTTTTCTCAGTAAACACAACAGTTTATCCCTTCTCTTCCTTTCCAAAAGAGCTCTGGTGGCTCAGTTAAGCACTTGGCTGCTAACTGAAAGGCTGATGGTTCAAACCCACCAGCTGCTCTACAGGAGAAAAAAATGTGACAGTCTACTTCAGTAAAGATTTATAGCCTTGTAAAGATTTTCAGTTCGACTCTGTCTTACAGGGTCACTATGAGTTGGAGTCAACTTGATGGCAATGGGTTTGGTTTCTCTTCTTCCACATGTTCTCTGCTGGATGGCCATTAGAGCCAATTATGCCTTAACCACTCCTCTTCCAGAATACACAAGGTTCTGTGTAATAAGGAGAAAAGCAAACTGCATCCTGGACAGTGTAGAGCTTGGGCCCACATATCCCCTGTGGCTCTATCTGTTCACTGACTGGCCAAGACTCTGACAACCAGGTTCTTCCTTGGGACCTCATCCTCTGCCAAGACCCCTACAATGTGATGATGGACACATTTGTCAAGTTAAATGGGCTAAGGAAGGTGATAACTATTTTTAGATTCTGGCAGAAAGTAGGGTTGGCTTTTGTTTTGTTTTTGTGTAGCTATAAATATCTAGGAGGTACCACGGGCTAAGAATAAGGGGTTGGGAAGAAGAAGGGATTTGGAAGAAGGCAGAGGAGGCCAAGGAGAAAGGAAGAGGGGCTCATTGTGCTAGAAGATACAGAAAATGGAAAGTAAGTCAAGATGCAGACCAACTCACTGAAAGCTCAACTATTTTTAAAGGAAGAACAGTTTCTTTATATACTTCACCTCCAAGTCTCTCCCCTGTTATTCACCTCCTAAGAGGAAGATGAAAGCATAGAGCAAGGGGCAAAGTAACAAACAGCCAATGGGATGGAAAGGAGACTAAAGGTTGAAGTGGGAGACAGAAGAAGGCTGGAACATCAAGTCCTCTTCTTTCTTACAGATCTAAGTTGAATTTTGAAACTGGGAGGTCTCTCAAAGAAACTCTGGAGCTCAGGCCCCCAGTTTATTAGGTACCAAGATTGGAGTTTGGCCCTTTAAGATTTCATCCTTAGCTTGCAATAGCAGCCCAACCTCAGAGGCCTAGGAGAAACACTTGAGGTCCAGCCCATCCCCTTTGCTTGGCCCCCAGTGGGCGGAGCCTTGAGGCTATGATTCTGGCCTTGTGTTGTTTTTAAAATTAGTACACTCACCAGCCTTGGCTGTCTACTGGGGGGAGGTGAGTCTAGGAGGTGCCTGAGGCCTGGGAACTGATGGTTTGGGGTAGTTTCTGAGACTTTCCCGTAAGCCTTCTCTGCAGGTGCAAGTCTGGAGAAACCAGCCTTCCTCCTGGCCCTGGGAAAGTTGTTCCTGACTTCATATTTCCATCCTACCTGCTGCAGGCATAGTTTATTTCCTTTTTTTGTTTTTCCCTGGCCTTTGCTATATAAGGATCCTGAACAGAGGAATGAGTGAAGAAGGGGGTGAAGAAGGAGGTGAAGAACAGTTGCTAGGCAGGAGAGGAAGCTGAGGAGCAGTGTGGGGGTGGTGCTCAGGGTGAAGAGCCCAACCAGCTCAGCCAGTGGTGAGGCAGTGGAGCCCAAAATAGTGTCAGAGACTAAAATTGGCACCTACCAGAGTGCTGAGTTGGGTTTGAAACCTGCAGCCTGGCCCTGCTGCAGAGCAGGGCAAGGAGCAGCTGGTTCTGAGTTGAGTCTCCTCCCCTCTACCATTTTCCAGCACACTATTCTGGGACCAGCATCAGGCTGGATGCTCAGTCCCAGGGCTCCCAGTGCTTCTGGTCTCTCCAGAGAACTGGGAGACTCTGAGAGGCAGAAATGAATTGCAATGTGAGTGACTGGAGAAGGAATTTTCTTAATAGCAGGAAACTTACCAAAGGTGGACATAGGCTCAGGCTGGGGAAAAGAGTCCAGGAAGATAAATTCCCAATGTCTCTTGTGGAAAGAGTGTTCATGCCCCAATTGCTCCTGACTGTGGGAGACTGGCTTCTGGTCTTTTGGGTGGAGCCTAACTTGTAACCGAGACAACAGGAGTTAGACACAAAGAAGGACTTCCTTGGCTTCTTCACTTTCAGTAAAGGTGTCCAGTCATCCAGATGTGGCTGGCAGAGGCGGAGCTAGAAGGGGGACGGGCCGAATATGGTCTGGGAGGTCCCGGAGGGGTGGGAGCTCGTGCGAGAATCCGCTCCTCTCCAGTCAGATTCTTGGACCTCTGGGAATGAATCTTCCCCTTCACGCTTTCTATCTAAATACCCAGTCTTTAGTTACCCTTTGATTTTCCCTCCCTGCCCCCAGTCGTAAAAGGGGTCTGCTGCGGCTTGCTTTGATGGGCCTGAAGGCCAGGAAGGAACTGGTCCCGGCTAGGGGCGGATGGAATCCTCCCGCCTGCGGGTCTTTAAACCTTGGAGTAACACGGTGTGGCGGGGGGGAGGGGTGTTCTGGGGCGAAAGGGGGAGGGAAGACCTGGGGTGGGGCAAGGGCTGTGAGGCTGGGCCAGGGGTAGGTTTTAGGAAAACTAGAGTTAAGAGGTGTGTCCCTGGGACTGGAGGGCGCCCATACGCATCGGAGGGGAAACAGAGCGGTCCCACAGTCTGCTCGTGGACTGCTGTACTTCTCCAGGCTGCTCTTCCATAAACCCGGGCGTCCCGTCCGGCGCCCCGGTACCCCGCCCTCCCCTCCGCTCTGCTCCGTTCCGCCTCCCCCCTTCCTGCGCTTGGTAGGGGTGGAGACTCGTTTGAGGAACTGGCTCTGGGTGCTGGGCTAGGGGAGTCAGACTTCCTGTCCGCAAGACCTACGCGTGCGGGGCGGACCCCTCCCCCGCCCTCCCCCCCACAATAACTGGACGCCTGGGTCCCTCCGTGCCGCGTCCTTCCGGGCTCCCCCCATCGGATTATGTCTCGGATCGAATCCCTCACGCGAGCGCGGATTGACCGGAGCAAAGAGCTGGCGATCAAGGTGGGTTCTGAAATCCCTCTCTCTGTAGATCTTAGGGTGTCCTCCGACCCCTGGCGCCCGCAGTGCACCCCCACCCGTCTCCCCGCCTGTTCTCTGGGTGCAAAAATCGGGCGGAGCTGCGGGTCGGAGAGCGGCAGGACGGGGTGGGTGGGGACTATGAGTGAGTGGGGAGGGGGTTGAGCGAGCGGTAGGCGCGACCCGCGCCTTCAGCTCCGCGCGGATTCAGTGTCGGGATCCCGGGAGAGAGCAGACCTGGGATTTGTTTGGTCGCCTGGAATCTGGCGGGACCGAGTGTTTTGGGCCGCTGGAAAGAAAGTTGCGCGGGTAAGGGACGGAGCGGGAAGAGGGAGGTATGTATATCGGGGATGGGGGTGGCGAATGCTCTCAGGCACCCCCCTTTCGGCCCTGGTCTCATCGGGTTGCTCTCGGCGTCCCCCTCTACCCAGTCGTTGGCTTAGTCTTTCCCCCTTTGTCCCCGCCATCCGGCGGAGGGGGCAGGAGGGGTGGTTTCCCGGCTTCCTCTCACCACCACCACCACCACCACCCCTCCAAGACAAAAGTCAGCTCCTCCTCTCTTCGCAAATGGACTTTCCAGCTGTGATTCAGTTCTCCCCTCTGGGTGGTAGGGTGGCTGGGGTCGGGACGGCCTGGGGACCGCTCACTTCCCCTCAAGCCATCTCTCCCAGGTGAAGTGAACAGAAGTCTTTGTGTAGCTGAGATCTTTCCTTCCATCCTTAAGGACCTGAGCACCTCCTTTTCTTGGTACATAGGGTCCCCTATCCCTACCTACCCCACCAGCTTCCAAGTTCCTTGTTCCCTCAGCCTGAAACATTAGATCTTAGGCCGACCCACCTGCTTCTATGCCACCAACCCCCCCAGCTTCTTACTGGACCCATTCACCTGCCATTTCATGAATCAAGCTATCTAATTATTTCTGCCTCCCCTCAACATGACCTCTTGGCCACTTCTTTCCAAGTACCCTTTATCCTTATCTTTGTACCAAGGCCCCACTCCCAAAGGCCATGACCCCTGCCTCCCCCCAGGCCTTAGGAAATGATGAAGCTGACTTGTAGGTGGATAAGTGAGAGCTGAAAAGAAGGTGGGTTGTGCAGACAGACAGACCTTCCAGTTCCTCAGAGCACCCACACTGCACCCGTTATCAGAAAGGCCAGGACCTAGCCCACAGTCAGTTTAATCTCTGGCTTCTCTCTGGCCCCCAATGCCCTGCCTGGATGCCCAGCCTGTGCTAATCACCCTCTTCAGGCAAGAAAGCTGTACCCGTCTGGAGTCCTCAAGGGTGGTGGGAAAAAAAAAAAAAAAAAAAAAAAAAACAACTATT